GAAAAAGTTTGTGCTTTTGTTGAATTTTGACACTTTAAAATACCTTTGTGTGCTTCCTTGCTATTTCTGGGATGAGGTGGTTCAGTGACACGTACATTTTTGATAGAAAGGAATAAATTAACAAGTAAAATTTTGTCAGGAAGTAGTTGAAGCGGAAGATGTGGGTTTGTGAACCTTGGTTGCAACTTATTACATGTGCTGGAACTTACGGAGAGTTGTTATTCCACTTCCGGCTCCAGAACCCAGGAATTCTGGTGCCACACATAGTCCTGTGCCTGTCTCTGATGTCCCCCAGGTGGGAAGAGGGATCTGCAGGAGGGAAGGAGCCAGTGGTGTGTGTTCCATCCCCCCAGCCTGTGCTGGGGAGTTGCTGCTGTGTCGGTGGGGCTGGGCTGCAGCCCCCCGGGGTGTGAGAGCAGGGATGTCAGCAGGCTCCATCCCATGACATGGTTTTAATAATTACCAGCCCATAAACTGAAGAAGGAGGGTTTGTAGGAGGCAGCAAGTGTGAGACCTGAGCCATGGGCTGGTGTGGTACAAGGGAGGCTCCCCCATCGTTCCTGCACACCAGTGTCCTGCCTCTGGCAGCTGCCTCCTGCCACCCTTCTGGGGTCTTTGTGTCAGCTCAGTGCTCATTAACTCCTGCCTCTGCTCCCTGGGTTTAACACAAGGGGGGTCCTGGCCTTGGCATTCAGTAGCAGGCATATCAGGGAGGCCGTGGATTTACGTACAGCTGCTGCAGGTGACCTCAGGCAACCCTGCTTTGTTTGTTTAACTGTATGTAGGGTGACTACAAATAATTCATGATGGAACTGGAAGGTGTCGGTGACCAGTAGGTGTGGGGAGCCCTTCCCTGCAGGCAGGGTGAGGCTCTGTCAGTATGCAGCTGCTGGTTTTAGGCTGATTATCTAGATTGATCTTACACACCAAACTATCAAGTTTAGTTTAAAAAAACATCCCAAAATACAGTTGGTTGAGAAAATGTAGCTGACACACCCATGGGCCATCAAAACTTTCATCAGAGTAGAGCATATTGGTTGTTTTCTTTGCTATTAGCAAATAAAGTTACTTCTTTCTGGAACTTGCCCTGAAAATAACAGCAGAAAAAGGAGCACAGGGATCTGTATGTCTTGTCTGTGGAGAGGAAATAGAGAAGGGACATCTGGAGCCACCAGGCAGCCCAGGTGTAAGGACCTTGGGGAAGGGTGGCTGTTACCAGGTGACCTTGCTGCTAACAGGTGGTGGAGAAGCTCCAGCAGGGCCTTTGCCAGGGGGAGCTTTGCTCTCCTTGAGAAAACTTGATCACCCTGAAACATGGGAGCAGAAGCCAGGTCTTCAGAGAAGGTGGATGTTGGTGCAGGTCTTGCCTGTGCTGGTGCCAGAGGAGCAGAAGCAGCCCCTGTCTCTGCAGCTCCAGCAGATCATGCACTCACTGCACCTTAGCGGAGCTTTGATTTTCTGGCCAGCTTAAGGAGGTGCTTTGATCTGTAACAGTTGGTCAAGGCTTTCACTTCCCTGATGCTCCCTGTGCTCCACCAGCTCTTGGCTGGGGAGGGGGGGTGGGGTGGTGTCAGTTTCTGTGGTAGCTGCTCTTGAAGAAAGCAAGTGAGAGAAAGTTTAGTTTATTTTTTTTGTTGGGAGAACTTCAGCTTTCTCCATTTAAGGGCATTAATCCCCAGCTCAGCTGCAGCCACACAGATACCTGAGGGCCAGTAGAAGACAAAAGCAGAGTATGGTTCCTCTCTTTGATGACTGAGAACTCCAAGGCATCCTCCAGAGATAAACTGTCCCAGCCTGTCTTTGCAGACCCATCCAGCTGTTAACAGAAGAGCTTTTGAGTTGGTGCTTCTTATTGAAAAGGGCCAAGTGTTGAGGTGGCTTTTAAACTAACCTTTAATTATGCAGTAAATTACTTTGCATAGAAGTCTTGTCACACCCCAGGGTTGATAAGGAGTTGCAGAGCAGGCAGCTGGCACCGCCCTGCTCCTCCCTGTGCTCTTGCCCAAGCACTTGGCCTGCCCTGACACGCAGTGGTGCAGGTTTGGGTGCTCCTCTTAGAGGTGGGTTGATTCAGATGTGTTTTAAACCTGGAGTTTAGTTTGAGTGTTAGCCAGGACTTTCCCATGTCTTTGGAGATACCTCTAAACTAGATTGTAGGATGGTTTCACAGCTAATTGCTGAATTGGTGCTACTCTGTTATTTAGTACTTGCCTCACAAGTTTGCCTTCTCTCTTAGACTTGAACTTGGTGGTTTTACTTTTGCTTCCGTTTCACTAGAAGATAATGGCAGGCAGGAGTGATTCTGACAGGTCTTTCTGGGTGGGCCAGGGAGTAGCACTTGAAAGAATCGTGTGAAGTTTTTTTTCTTAGTTTTAATCAGCAGTTGGAAGGACTTTTCTTTACAAGGAGGCCCTTGGAGAACACGAGGGCAAGGGAGCCTGAGGGCTGACTGGAGTTTTTTGATCTGAGGATGGAAAAAACTCCTGTGCTTTGGGTCTTACCCGGTCATAGAGCTAGAGAACAAGTACAGACATTTCAGGTGGTGTCTGACTAACCACTGCACTAGTTCAGCATTCCTTCATGGAGTTGTGGTTCCTGTTGGGCTTTGATCTTCTGGCACATGGGAGTTGGTCCCGGGGCAGATGCACGGACGCTGCCCAGTGTTTGTACATCCGTAGGGAAACTTCCCACCAGTGCTGATCTTCATGGGGCCATGTCTCTAGAGATGGTGACAGCAAGTGGAACTTCAGATTCTGGTGGTATTTTGGTGCAGTACCTGTCAGGAAGGGCTGCAGCAGCCGTGCTGCTCGTGTGTTTTTGTAGAATCATCTTTTAATTCTGTTTATCTGGTCTCTGGTAACATTTGGTGTTGGGCAGCAAATGGATGTAGGGAGGGCCCTGCTGTTCTTTGAACTTGGTGTTGCAGGCCTGATGTACAACTGTGCACACCTCTTGATCCTTAATCCAGGATTAAAGCAGTTAATGAGACAGACTGGGGTATTTAAACGAGGATATCTGGATTTCTGTCAGTTTGGTTTATCTTAGAAGTTTTGGATTTTGTTTTCATCCTTAAATTGGAGCTGCAGGGACCCTGCAGCTGTTTTGTTGTGTTGCCAGGGGAAGTTCAGTAAATTACTTTGAGCCAATGATCCTTGACAGGCATCCAGACATCCCATTTTAATTGGGGGGGTGGGGATTACCAGGTAGAATGACTATATAGCAGGGTTCTTGGATCACTTTTCAGATTTCAGTGATGCTTTATACATATTTTTCTGAGCTGTGAAGTGTTCCATGCTGGAACTCCTTTCTACCCCAAAGAGCAGGTAAATGTACTTCCTGTGATGTTTTGTGTTGTTTGTTTTTTTTTCCTTCTGTATATTTATTTCTCAAAGCAGCCTTAGCAAAGACCTGGAAATATGAAGTTTGGAGGAACTGCAAATGTTTTTGTCTGTGCATAAAAGAATAAAATGTATTCCTGTGTTAAACTCATGTCCTCTGTTCGTGCTTGTGGCACATGAAACAGATCTAGTTTTATGTGACTCTTCATGGAACAGATGGTGGTTGTCACAGAGAACAGGGAATTCTAGTGGAGAGCAGGTGGTGGTTGGTGTTGTGGAGCCCTCAGACCTGCCAGACCCCTCCAGACTGGCTGACTTCCTTGGTAATAAGATGGAGATGATCTGGGGGGCAGCTCCCTAACCCTGCTGTGTGCTTCATTTGCAGGAAGCTCTTTGTGGGTGGCTTGGACTGGAGCACAACACAAGGTAAGCCATGGGTGAGCCAGCCCCTGTGAGCAGCAGGTGCCAGCTCTGGAACAGCCACTGCTGAGGTGGGAAGGTTGGGAGCAGAGGTGGCTGCTCTGTCCTGCTAATGGAGAAACCTTCCTGCAGACAGTTCAGTGGGTGTTCATCACTTTTGGTTTTGTATTTTCTATCGGGGCAGTTTTTGTCAGCTCAGATTACAACTTTTTATCATTGCTTTACTGTGATACCTCTTGTGTGAGTGGAGACAAAGCGGTACATACCATTTGTTTAGGGGAAGTAGAATGTAATAATTTTCAGAAGAAGTTTGCACTTGTTTCACCACGTGCTCATCTCTTGTCTCCTCATTGCCAGCACGGCCTCGTGGCGTTAATACCTGCTTCTGGTTAATATGTGCTTTCTTTTTAACAGAAACTCTTCGTAGCTACTTCTCCCAGTATGGAGAAGTCGTAGACTGTGTTATAATGAAAGACAAAACAACAAACCAGTCTCGAGGGTTTGGATTTGTCAAATTTAAAGACCCCAACTGTGTAGGAACAGTGCTGGCCAGCAGACCTCACACGTTAGATGGCCGAAATGTAAGTTGCTTCTGTGTTTTGATTTTATTTCTGCTTCAGAACTTTCTGCTCCAGACTGCTTCAAAGAGCACTTTTAAATTTTGGCTTCTTTTTTGCAGACTGGATGGTGTCAAAGTTACCTGTTACTGGTTTTAATTATTTCTTGTAAAACAGCTTTAACTTGGTGATTTGTCACGTTGTAGAAGTGATGCCTTCTTGGTAGCTTTGATCTGAGGAGCTGGATCTCAGCAATGCTGTGTTCAGCTGCCACAAACCTAACTTCTAGAGCCATATTCTGCACTCTGAGATCTGACCAAACTGGAACTTCTTCCAGATTGATCCAAAGCCATGTACACCTAGGGGGATGCAGCCAGAAAGGACACGACCAAAGGAAGGATGGGTAAGGAAAGATACTTGGTATATCCTGCCTGTTTTCCAAGTTTTGGCTTAACCTTCTAGCAGTTTAATTGAATTCACTTGGATTATATCCATGCTTTAAAGATCAGGAGTCAGTATGAAGGCCTTGACTGTAAATTTTATTTCTGAAAAATGACTTCTACTTAGATCCATGGTAGCACATGGTACGAGACAGTGTTAATTAACCTTTTCTGTTGTGTTAAGCTCAGTTTGTGGGGGTGGGAGTTCCTTCAGCTCTTAGCACTGTAGTTGGGTTTTTCAGATCTTGAAACAAGTGTCTGGAAGTGCACTGATAGCTTTTCCAGCCTACTTCACACCCTGCAGATTATGATGGTTTAATCATAAAATGAGTAAATGGCCTCAGAACAGAGTTCTCTGATCCTCTGAAGAGCAGAGGCTTGTAACTGTGAGCTCTGAAGGTGCAGCTGCTTCACTTCAGGGACGGGACCCCTGGAGGTGCCTCCCCTGGGCCTGCGGGAGCCCCCTCTTCATCCTGCAGTGTAAAGTGAGAGAAGCAGCCAACTTTATTGTCCTTCTGACTGATGTTTTTTTCCTCCTTGATTTAGCAAAAAGGATCCAGGAGCGATAACAATAAATCCAATAAAATCTTTGTTGGTGGGATTCCTCATAACTGTGGCGAGACAGAGCTCAGGGAATACTTCAAGAAGTTTGGAGTGGTGAGTCACACAGTGTGGTGGCACTTTGTCACCAAGGTGCTTTCCCTCCCCTCTGCCTGCCTCAGATTTCATTAGACTGTCAAATTTTGAGTTAATTTAGACCAACTGTTGCAGAGACATATTGAAACACTTTGTGATAAACTCTAGTAAACGTCCATCATCTTGAAATGTATCTTGCTGTTTGTCAGGATCTATTGCTCTTGTCTGTAACTTTCTTTACTGCTTCTGTCTTTGTAGTCAACCTGGTGCATCATTCTGTTCCCTTCCTGCAAAAAACTCCTGAGCTGAGTTGGCTGATGAATAACTTTCTCTTAGCAATTGATAACTTACAGCTTGGTGATTTAATAACTTTTGTGGATTTTTTTTTAGGGGGGAACAGTAAGTACTTGAGTGATCTTCTGTCTGAGTTTGAAGAGCTCAGACTGCCTTAGTTAAATTCAGGACTGTGCCAGTGGATGTGAACTTGTCATTTTTGAGTGGCATTTAGTGTGTTTGTTTGCTTTTTTTTTAAAAATCACCTTTCTCTTAGGTTTCAAGTGGCTAATGTCAACAGTGCTATCTTCATAATTAAAAAGTTAGTAATGGCTAACAACTGTTTCTTTAGTTTGAAAGGCTTCAGTAGAGTTGTAAATAAAAACAGGGGAGCATGTTCCACAGCTGTGGAACACAACACTTCCTAAAGGCTCTTCCTCACAGACTTGTGGCTTTCCAGTTCTGACCTCTGGATGGCTGGGGAGATCTAGGGTTCAGTTCCACCAAATATAGAAGGCAACAGCCATTAAGTGTAAGTGCCTTTAAAAGTAAGTAGTAGAACTTTAACCCTAGTGTAGAGGCTGGAGAGTGGACGTAGCTTCTGAATGAGTTATCTTTGGAGGGGCTCTTAGAGAGGTTTTGTGGCCACAGAGTGAAGTGACAAAAGCAGGCACTGGTTCCTAGCCATGGTCACTGCTTGGTGAGGAAGGGGATCTAGAGGGACCTGAAGGTGGTCCAGAGGGACTGTGGGGAAGAGATCTGGCCCTGTCTCAGGGCGTGATCCCACACAGGGACAGTCCCAGCTGTCAGCATCCAGTGGGAGACAGTCAGTATGGATGTGTAATAATAACTTGAAAAGTATCTTTTTTAGCTGGAAGTGAAAGGTGTCAGATTTTAAGTTAATTCAGGGGATTCTAGTAAAAAATAAGCTCAGATTAGCTTCAATCACAGAATGGCTAGGGCTGGAAGGAACCTTAAAGATCATCTGGATGTGATCCCACACATTCTGTGACTGCTTTTCTGCAATGGAGAATTTCAAGGCAGTTCCTTTCAGCTGCTTTAGTGTTGCCCCTGACGTGAATGTTGCACCTCTGGTTTTGTTTAAATTGTAGCTCACAGTGATGCTTATTCTGAGGAGAGTCTTTAAGCCCTCAAACAGCTTGCATTTTCCATTGTTTTGTAAGTTGTTGTTGTTTATTAATTTAAAATCACTCCGATATTGATCATCTATCACTTACGGCTTTTTTGTAATTCTGTGCAAAGCATCAGTTTGTACCTGGAACCCTGGGCCACACTGTTGCTCCAGTCTAGTTCAGAGAAGCCGTGCAGATTCTAAAATGTGTTTGGAGTTAAATCTGCTCTTCACATTGAGAATGAAAATGTGTAAAAATGGAAGAAGTGATACATTGAGAAGCTACATGGATGTTTAGTGTGTTGAGAACAACCCGAGGGGGGTTTATAGGATCCTGAGTATAAACAGTGTAGTGACCTTATTGCTAGATTAAAATTGTAAGTGTGATGAGACCATAACAAGGCACAAAGCAGCAGCTTTGCAGAACAGATGAACTCAGGCTTTTCTGCAGCTTCCCTGAAGAGCAATATTCCCAGTTTGTGTGCACTCCCTGGCCCAGCCTGGTGTCGGTGGCTGCAGCGGGCATTTAATTGTGCTTTGAGGACAGAGTGTGGGAAAGCAGTCCTGGGAGCTGGTGGGAACACTCCCCTGGTAGCACAGTCAGTAGAATTTCCCTTCTCTCTTCCAGGTCACTGAAGTTGTAATGATCTATGACGCAGAGAAACAGAGGCCCCGAGGTAAAGGCTGATCTAGTTTGTCCTTGAAATTTCTTCATACTCTCCTATAGTCAGATGGCAAACTATTTCACACCATCAGAAAAGGTAGACTTTTTTTTTTTTCTCTGTTGCCTCAGGAAAAAGAATAATTCATTCCAAGTCTAGACTCTTCATCTACAGCTTCAGTTGGTACCTGTGCATTTAAACTCAGATGTTTCATGTTCATTTATGGATTGTTTGGGTTTTTTTGCTAGTTTTTCAGTTGAATGAAATTTGATTTTTGAGCCTCTCCTGTGGGGGGGTAGGAAGTAGAGTTCCCTCCTGTTTCACATGAAAGATGTGCTGGTGTCTGATTGCAGGGGGGGCTCTCCAGTTCAGAGGATGTCTGAACAGAGAACAGAATCCATCCATTACATGCTTTTTGTTTTGGTGAAATGGCTTCACTTCAAATCAAAACACTTCTTAAAGTACACAAAATAATTCTGAAATGTATATATTTTGATTGGGAGGTGTAATCTCTGTATGCTAGACTGCTCAAAAAAAAACCAAAACAAACTGGTACCAGTTTCACCAAGCTGTTTAATCAAGTTGGTACCTTTGGTCAAAATATGAAGTAGGTTTCATGTCATCCACCTTCCATTGCATCTGTCATCTCTTGGCCAAGCCAGAGGCAATATTTTAAACACGTGGAGCTCAGTTGCACTGACCACCCTGTAGCATGTTCTACATGCTGGAGAATAGTTTGCCATCTGAACTTTCACTTCTCTTCTGACTCATTATTAAGAAATATATTCTTCACTTCATATTTATTAAGCTGTTAAGTCTTAGTTTTATTTTTAATTTAGACATACATCCTTAGTGACATATTTAAGTGTTTCATAGTAAAGTATGGTAATGTTAAGTAAGTTCTTTTTTATTTTTTTTCTTTTCTCTCTGTGCATTGTTGACTGTGATTAACGATATCTCTTTAGATTTCTTCTCTCTAGGTGATAATTTATCACAGAGGTACAGGCCAGTTCCACAGTCAGAGGAGGGACGGGCTTTGTCTTTTATTGGAGTGTAAACGAAGTTTCAATATATTTGTTTTTTTGGTTTTTTTTTTTGCTTTAGCTCTCTTAATCTTCTTTCAACAGATACTTTTTATTTGAGCAGAACATAAATTAATCTATTTAAATGCTATAGAGCATCTGATTTGAAGTAGAGGAGGCAAAGATACAGGCATTTGAGTGTAGTTTGTTTCTGAAGTTCTGAAACTTTTCAGTTATTATTGTATCATCTCTCTCTTTGTAATATTTAATCCCAGCCTTGCAGCCTCTAAGTAGGAGGTACTAAAGCATCATGCCTGGTCTGGATTTATCCTGGTTGCAATTAATGGCTTCTCTGCTTAAAGCTATGCTAAAAAATATATATATATAAAAAATAAAGGATTTTAGGTCCACTTTTCCTGGACGGGAGTTTAAAGCAGGAGAGGCAGGTATGGATCCCATCTGTCTGCATCCCCTGTGCAGATGTCCTGCAGCATATTTCTGCTTTAAATCTGACTTCTTAAACAGTGGTCTCGAATCCTCTTGCATTCATTTTTGTTCTGTTACATTCTTTTCTGTTCTCTGGTAACCAGGCAGCATCTCCAGAAATGGCCTGTGAGTCCCTGGGCTGTGCTGGGGAAAATCCTCAGTGTGTGTTCAGTGCTTCTGGCCCTGCATCCCTGAACAGGTTTTCTCTTCCCTTCCTGGTTGGGGTTGGTTTATAGAGCCCTGTCAGTCCATACCTGTCCTTTCAGCATGACTCCTAAATAACTAGATAATTAAAAAATTCAGAAGGCCAATTCCCTGCCATCTCCTACTGGCATCACTCTGAATTTTGCCTTCTTCCACGAGCTGCCCAGCCCTGAACAGCCCTCTGACTGCACAGCAAGTTACAGCTCTGCTGGCAGAAGGAGGGACAGTCCAGCCCCCACTGATCCTGGTGACATTCCCCTGCCTTCAGCTCCCCACAGGAACACGGGTCCTCGGGGAGTGTCGGAGGCACCAGCCCTGCCCTGGAGGAGCCACTGGGTGTCTTGAAGTGTCCAGGTCCTCTCTGCTCCCTGGCAGTCCCACCAACTGCTCCTCAGGGTCCCAGGTGTGAGCACAGCCAGGCTGGTCATACCACAGGACACGGTGCCTTTGGGGTCTCTGCTCCTCCTGCTCTCTGTTCTTGGCTGAACCAGCAGCTCTGAAGTCACTTAGAGGTTCTTGCTGTCTTTGTTCTCTTCCTCCCCTTGGCTGCCAAGGAGTCTCATGGCTCTGTTCAGGAGTCTCCTTGAGTTCCTCCTAAGTGCAATCTGTTTCTCTCGTCTTCCACAAAGCCCTGGTCTCCAAAAAATAAAGCTCCTGGATGATAGACCTGGTCACTTTTAATGTATTTAAAATAACATGTTGTTGGGATTTTGCTGTGTATTGTACTCTGATTTCTTCACTGTCCTTATCTTGTGATGTTTGGCCCTTTTTGACCCTTACTTTTTCTTCCCTGGCTTTCTCCATGATGTCTTGCTCCCCTTCCTTCTCCCTCTCCAGACCCCATCCCCAAACCAGTCTGTTCCCTCTTCCAGTCTTCTTGGAATCAAGTCAGACCAGCAGCCTTCCCATCTAGATGGTACCCATCATTTTTCTTCCCCACAGCCTTTTTAGCTAAAGGCTGTAATACTAAATAATGTGATTTAAATACAAATACCTTTGGCTCTACTCCTTAGCTTTCCAGTGAAGCTCAGACAAATATATTGTGATGAAATGCTGCTCTGCATTTCCAGGCTGCTTTCATCACAGGGCAACAAAACTTCGTTTATACTGCCAGTCTCTTGTGTGTGGGAAATGCCAAGTTTTTTCCTTTTTATTTTAAGTTTATTTTAGTGATGTCTTTTGCTCTTGTTGCTGACAGCAGAATTTGACCTGCTGGAATCTGTTTTGGCCTGTATCTTTGTGTATTTTTATATATATATATATATATAAACTTTCTCTGCAGTAGGCCTCTTTGGGCTTACCCAACCCAGTTGGATAAGCTCAGAGAGACACTGACTGTCATAGATCCTGTATTTATTTCTGTTTAACGCTGTAGAGCAATATCTGGCTGCTGTCAGCACTAGCTGCAAAGCAAAATGCAAACCAAGGGGGAAATCTTGGGTTTCAGAAGAGCAGAAACGCATCCATATTCCATGTGCTTTTTGACGCCGCACCTCGTTTTTCTTTCTAATTTTTGATTGCTCTACCCTTGGCTAATCCAAAGAATGGCACAGTTGATGTACTGCATGTGTTCCTACCCGGCCTGGGGTGTCACACCAGCAGCCAGTGGTTGATGGCATGAACCAGCCTCCGTGTTCTGTGCAATTAACCACTGTTTTGCCACTCTCTCGGCAGCACCAGCAGCTACGACCTGAGCGCAGAGGTTCTCAAAGTGTTACCTCAAAAAGCCACGTGGTCCTGGGCCTCATTTGCAGCCTCATCCACAGGCACCAGAGCCTCCCCTGAGACCTTTTAAATCACTGCTGGAACCAGCAGAGCTGCTTCCGCGAGGGCTGGGGGCAGATCTAAGGACATGAGCCACCCTTGGGGGTCTGGAGCGGTTAGCAAGGTCCTGGGTTGAAAAGAGGGACTGAAAAGCATTGCATGGGTTTCCAGGAGAAAAGCAGCAGGAAACACAATAAATGAAATATAAATGAATAAGAAATAAAGGGATGTGATGGCAAAACATCCTGCTCTGTGTGAGCAGCCCTGCTCTTCCTGCTGGGGTTGCTGTTTGGAACGACTCTCTCCAAGGTGTGGAAAACTTTTGAGAACCTCTGATCTAGGTTGTTAGTTTCTGAAGCTTCTCATTCATCCATGGAGTGGTAAAATTTGTCATGCTTTAACAGCTACATTTCAAAGACAACTTTCTTATTTTCCATGGAAAATAATTCCCTAATTGGAAGATGGGATATACGGGATGGGTGGAAGTTGCTTTGCAGCTCTGGGGAGCAGGGACGTTACAGGTTTTCCTCGGGAACCTGCTTTCAATCAGAGATAGGAGCAGCAACGTTGCTTGACTCTGATCTGCTGTCCCACAAGGATTTTGTTTTCAATCATGTGGTGCAGTTGTATTTATGACTATACTGGCACTTTTTTTTTTTTCCCATTTCCTGGTAGGTGCTTTAGGAATAAAACCAAATTACAAGATAGATTAACGAGCTCCGTTTGTAAGTTGCATGTGTGAAACCCAGACACGAGGCATTCACTGCCTGAATTACAGGAAATGCCCTTTGCAATTTTCTCAGATTGACTTATTTTTCTTCTTATTTTTATTTTGGGAAAATTTAACACAAGTCTCAGTTATCTGAAACCCCTGCTTGAACCCTTGGTCCACCCCTAATACTGTTCATCATCCTGTTTTGTGTCACAACACCCTGCTACCTTGATTCACTCTTCGTCGTTGGCTAGGTTTTGGATTTATTACTTTCGAGGACGAACAATCAGTGGACCAGGCTGTCAACATGCATTTTCACGACATCATGGGCAAAAAAGTGTGTAGTTGTAGTTTTATTTTACCTTAAGAAAGAGCCAAGTCTTGGGCAACTTGCAGTTTCACTGGTGAATTGAAAGTAGTGGTTCAGTTAGGAGGGGAGAGCCTGGACATCCAAATTCGAGGCTTTATCCATGGAGGTGGGGAAAGTCTGAGTTTGCTTGAGCAGGAGGGGAAAGCAGCTTAGGGGAGGAAGGTGGGTCTTGAAAGCCTGAGAAGTTGGGCTGTGGGGCTGGCTTGGGGGGGGCAAGGCCTTGTGCTGACAGACCTGGGGGGCTACTCGGGCTGAGCATTGCTCGGTTGCGCTGGGCTGGCACCCACTGCCTTGCCTTGGAGCACTGCTCAGGGGCAAGGAGAGAGCTGGGTCCTTCCCTGAGGTTGGGGAATGAGAGTCCCAATGAAATCTGAGTTGTTCAAGGCTTGGTTTAAGATACCACTCCTTCAGATGTGCATTTGATACTCAAATTTTGAGGTGGTGTGAGACAATCTACTTGATATAATCTTAAACTTGAAAAGAGAGAGAAAAACATCCTGAAGGATTGGTTTTTAAAAAAATTGGGTCACTTACTGTGGAACTTTGATACAAACCCACATACTCTATATAGTATTTAACCACAATGCAGTTAAGTGACCTCTGGTTGTTTCATCTTCATACTGTGTTGTCAGCAAATGGGTCTTTGATAGGAAGGAGTTTTTAGGCTTGCTTTGATGTTATTCAGCAAGGAACATGCTTGAACCTGTGGAAAAAAAACCACCCTAAAAGCCAAGTAAATTCTTGCAGGACACCCAGGTTTTATACAGGGAAAGATGAAAGTTCAGAAAGAAAAATTAACCACAGGAAATTCCAGTAAATTTAAAGTCCTTGCAGCTTTACAGTAGGTCCAGTCATTAAAGTAAATGACCTTAGGGTGAGTGGGTTTCAGGGAAGCACAGGAACAGTCACTTGCCTAAAATTATTGCATTGTCTAATTTTACATTGTCTTTTGAAGTCTCTGTGTGCTGATATTTCATGAGCATTTCTTTAGCAGGGGCTGTGGTTTTGCTTATCAGGGGCATTTGAGTTAACTGTGCAGTGTGTCATGCTTTTATTCCTAGGAACTTGTTTTGGGGATGAGGGGTGATTCCTGATGATGGGAATGGAGCAAATGCAGAAATGTGCTTGTGGAGTCAGGAACATCAGTGTGTGTCCTTGGTTACTCCTTTTCCTCCTGTGAGCAGCTGAGCCCTCCCATTTGCCAGCAGTAAATTCACAGTGTGGGTCTGAGTCATCTATATCCTGTGTCCATCCTCTGAGCTTTCCTTGGAATTGCCTGAAACCAACAAACCACCTACAGGAGGGGTCCTGTCACAGAGCAGTGTGCTGGATGGAAACAGGAACAGAGGATCACAGGTCTGGGAAAGCATGGAGAGCCCTGTGGGAGCCTCGGGAATGTCACCTCCTGTGCCAGGACCTCGGTGCTGACCCAGAGTTCTCCATTGTTTCCCAAACAATCCCGGTACCAGAATGAAATCACCTCTTCTTGCCCTTTTTGTTTTTCCCTTTCAGTGACACAAAAAGCAGGAGTAGGCTGGTTTATTTTCAGCCAGGAGCAGTGGAGATGCCTCATTTCTTGGTGCAGGCTGGGCTTCAGGCAGGAGTAGAACTGTAACCTCACTGCTGGGAATATTGCAGAGGGATTTTCCAGTCCTCAGGCTGGCAGCTCCCCACCTCCAAATGTGCACTGCAAAATTAATGGGATTCTTCCACCTAGATGAATGTACTCCAGCTCCTCCACTCCTCATTGGCTAACAATGCCTGCTTTGGAAATGGTGTCTCTTTTTTCTTCTTTTTTTTTTTTTTTTGCAATTAAGAAGGTATTGCTGAAATCAATCCCTGTGTTGTTGAAAGGGAAAAAATGGAATTAAAATTGCAAGAAGGACTCTGCTTTTGTAAGCAAGAACTGAATTCCCTCAGGCCAAATGTGTTAAGACTCATTAATTTGAGTCCTTTGAAAAATTCCCTCGGTTCCTCTCTGGAAGGGCCTTCAGCTGACAGAGATTTGGTTCCTGTCATGTGGAATGTCCTTGGGGGGGTGGTGGGCTTTGTCCTTGCCTTGTGCCTGTTTCCTGTTTGTTCTCTGACACAAATGGATTTTAAAACATGGCAGGAAGAATTCTGAATACTTTTATTTTCCATACGACTCAGCCCATTGATGATTGGGATTTATTTCCTTTGTACTCTGGCACCCATTAAAATTAATCGTAAAATAATAATAAAAAAAAAAGGCTTTAATTCAGCATGCATGAGTGCTGAGAGTGTTTCATTAAATCAGAAAGTGGATTTTTTTTTTGAGGGGTTTATGTTGAATGTGCAGCTTATTTTAAGTAGGTCAAATGCACTTACTCAATGGGTTGGAACACTGGGACATTTTATCTTTGAACCAAATAAGTTAAGCACTGTCTCTTGCTAATTTGAAAAACAGGAGGGCTTTTGTCACTGACTTAACACAGTATGAAGATTTGCTTCTTATTGACTCAACTGTCCATTTTTATTACTTGCATGTTTGTTTACTTTTTTGTTAGATGTAATGTAAGATTCTCTTATCACATCCATTCCCTCTGACATTGTTTGAGTTAATTGAGATTCTTTAAGCGTTAGCCTGGGGAAGGTAAGTCTTTATCTTCCATTAGACATTTAAATAAAACCTAAGTTTATAAACAAGCAAGCAAACAAACAAAAAAAAACAACCCAACCAACCAAAGTGTGTTTCTCAGGTATGAGCTGAGCTGAAATTGCACTTAGCTGGGGTGGGTTTAAACTGTAATTTCCAAATGAACCCCAAAGATGCTGGAATGGTTAAAGCATTAGTACCCTTTTTCAGAGAACTCTTTACTGCAAGTTCCTTTTTTTTTTTTTTTTTTAACTGATAAACCTCATCTTTGTAACTCCTCCCTTTCGTGTTAAATTAGTGTATAAATCACTTAAAGGATTATGCTTTTGTAAGTGAAGAGCCATTGTAAGAGGGTACTGCTGTTTTAAGGTGAAAGCCAATGAGCTCTGTGCTGAGACACCCCTGATCTGTAGGACGTGTTACCCGCAATCCCTCGCAGCAGGACGTGCCATGTCTTACCAACAGATAACGTTGTACCTGAGAAACATTTTTAAATTACTGGCCTTAAGTTTAATAATTAAGTATTTAGACGTAAGTCGTAAGATGCTAAGTGTAGTCTTAAGTGTAATGAAGGGTGTGTGTGAAGGGAAGGGGGGTGTCCTGCCCCCCTCCCCTCCTGAGCGCTGCCTCTGTTTGTTCAGGTGGAGGTGAAGCGAGCGGAGCCCCGGGACAGCAAGAGCCAGACCCCTGGGCCCCCCGGGGCCAGCCAGTGGGGAAGCAGGATCATGCCAAGTGCTGCCAATGGCTGGGCAGGGCAGCCCCCTCCGACCTGGCAACAGGGTTATGGCCCTCAAGGTACCACCTCTTGCCTCTACAGGTCACTGGTCGCCTGGTGCTGCTGGCAAAGGGCAGTGTTCCCAGGTTGGTTAGTGCCATGGCTGGGCTGGGTTGTGGAGAGCAGAACTCAAATTCCACACGTCAGTCCTTTCCAACTCTGCTGAGATTGGTCCTTCACTTCTGCCCTAGAGAGCAAAGGTTTTTGGAAAGAGGAGTCAGGGGGTTGTGCCAAGTCCAGTGTGTCCCCAGAGGGTTTTTACCTCCAGGGTTTCCCTAGTGCAGAGAGGTCACTGGGAGAGCTCAGTGCCTGGAGCTGTGACTGGGGCTGTGGGATTGTCACTAGCCTGAGACCCTAAGGAAACATTCTGTTGAAATATGGGTTTTCAAGAATGAGGCAGTTTCAGAGGAAGTTATAAGAAAAATTTGAAAGGGATGAGAGAGAAACAGATGGTCTAGTCTCTGGATTTATTGCTTAATGCAGTCTGGAATAATACCAGGCAGCTCTGGGGCTCCTGGTGCTTGCAGGGGGGAGCACTCACTGCTTGTAATTTTTTCGATTTAGCTGGAACCCTTCAGGGCTGAAAGGAGCAGCAGTGTGTTCTGGGTGTGATGGTTATAACCCCCACCAGAATTTGAAGCTAAGATAAATATGTTGAGTTCATCCACAGACAGTTTGATAAGTTCTGGAGAAATCTGGGGGAATAATCGAGTTGTGTTTGACAGAACAGACCTTGCTGGCTCTTGGGAGATGAGAAATGTTCACCTGGGGGGCTGGAGGGAGTGTCACTGCTTCATCTATTGCTACAATAGATGGTTCCTCAGTAGAGGGATTGCTTGTTTCCCCATGGTGCTTATTAACTTGAAAGCTGCAGCTGAGGCTCTGGCATCCTGCACAGATGTGCTGCTCTGCAACTGTGCAAATGGGGAAGGGAGATGATTGGCACTGTGGTTCTTTGTGGAGGAAATTGTATCTGATCTGCTGGGAAGATGAATGTGCAACGCAAATGCATTTATCTTTCAATCTTGATGCTGCAACGAATGCAGAGGATGATATTTGTATGGTTCAAAACCATTAAAAAACCCATTAAAAATAACTAGGATAAAGTTGGTAGTATATTGAAAACACTTGGGATGTGTGCTCTGCTGTGGATCTCGGTGGGTTTGTTCTTTATTCTGCTGCAGTTTCCTGCACTTGATGTGCTTGCAGTTCTTGGGTACTCAAGTCTCATTTGGGTTTGGGGCCTCCTGTCTCCTCTGTATTATTTGCTGAATTATTCAGTCTTTTCACAACTGCTTATTCAGAAATGGTCTAAGACTATTTCTTGGGCCATAAAAGATGGATCTGTAAGGGCTGCTGGAGGATACCCAGTCTGTCCCAGAGCAAGATCAACTCTCTGTACATTCCCCCTGTTCAGAATACAGAGCTTCAGAGCATGTATAAGTTGCTTTTTTGTTCTGTTGTAGGGATGTGGGTGCCAGCTGGACAGGCAATTGGTGAGTACATTGTGTGGGACCAATCTGAAAAGAGAAATCCTACTGACTGAGGGGGATGTTTGTTTAATCTACGGTGATTTGTGGATTTCTGTAGGATTTAACCTACATTTAAAGGCTTGATTGAATTTGTCCTGAAAGAACAAAGGAGATGGTAGTGTATTCCTGACAGCTCAGTAATGGGAGCTGACACATCCTGGTGTCACCAGCCGGGCTCATTTGTTATCAAGGAATTACATTCTTAACTGCAATTATTTACAGCGGGGGTACTTGGAGGACAAATATTTCCCTGAGTAAAAATTGATAGAAGGCTGAGACAGCCTCTGAAATCTGTCAGACAGCTTTACCCCCTCTAGAGGATGCTGACTTGAGTAGCAACTTGTCATTATTAAGCTACTTAAGTTCCTGGTTTCTTCTTACTTTCCAGGTGGGTATGGACCACCTCCTCCAGGAAGAGGAGCTCCTCCACCACCACCACCATTTACCTCATACATAGTCTCTACACCTCCTGGAGGATTCCCTCCTCCACAAGGATTCCCACAGGGCTATGGCACCCCTCCACCATTCAGTAAGTGACCTGCAGCCCATCACCACGTTGCTCATCTTCATCTGGGCTTGGATTTTTTTTTTTTTTCCCCTTAAGTTCTGTCTCTCCCTGGATGTTCTGCCTAGATGGGATGTTCTGAGCTCTAATTAACTAGATGAGGGTTTTTGTCACCACTTGGGTTAACTTTTTTCCTTGGGTGCAGTAAACATTTGTTATGTTCTCTAGGCTAAATCTGTGTTGCTAAACGAGCTGGGGTTTATTGTGTGGCCCTGTTGTGACATCTGAGAGGAGCAAAGTTGGAGATTACTGACCTGGGCTGGGCACAGGCTGGCATTTTTGGAGAAGCTTAAGGAATTAAGGTCAAAACTGGCACTGAAAAGAGGATTTTAATACCTACCCCCTCAGGCCACCTTTTGAAAAGTCTGATCACAAACCTGATACTAAAAAGGGGAGAATAGCACCCACTTGTCTCGAGTTGCTCCTTCTGCTGTGGAGAAACCATTTGTTTGGGGTGTCTGTGTTCCCTGCTAAGAGCTTGGGTAGCAGGGCTTCCTCGTGTGCCCCACGTGAGGAGTTTGGGCCCTTTCCTTGTGCTGGTTGCTGAGCTGGCTGCAGTTTTCCCTTGTGAGATGTTTCCTGTTAAAAGCTTTATCATTGGGCTCTCCCAGCCACAGTGGCTGTGAAGGAGTGAATTGTGCTCTGGTGACAAACACTTTGGTTTTAATCAACTGCGAAGTATTATTTTTCAATTCTATCTAAAGGCCACTCAGATGTGGGGGTGATGTTGGCCTGTCTTTCTTAACAGAGATCCTGCTTTGCTGTTTCAGGTTTTGGTTATGGTGCTCCACCTCCTCCACCTGACCAGTTTGCCCCACCAGGAGTCCCCCCTCCACCTGCCACTCCAGGGGCAGCACCACTAGCTTTTCCACCACCACCACCACCATCTCAGGCAACTCAGGACATGAGCAAACCCCCAACTGCTCAGCCAGAATTTCCTTATAGTCAGTTTGGTAAGTAACAACGTGTCAAATAATCTCACCTTGATCCTTCCCTCCTTCCTGCTCTCCTTTGATATTTGGGTAGAAAGTCAGTGTTCAGGAGCCCTTTGCTGAGGCTGAAGCTCTTTTCCCCAGGATGGAAGTGTCCTCTACCAACTCTAGTGATCCTTGAATCAGGCACTATGTAGCCAGAGGGGATTTTCTTTATGAACTCTAAATAGCTCAAGACTTGTGCTCTGGCAGGATAAGTAACTGCTTTGTGCTCTCCCTGAATCTATATATATTTATTTTCCTCCAGTAGCTTAATGGAGCTTGTAGTCAACTTTTTTGTGTCACTGGCTTGGATTAGATTGGAGAATAGTCTTGGAATAGTGAGAGCAACACCAAGGGGCAAGCAGGGCAGGGTGTTAGAATCCAGCTGGGTGCCTTCCCTTCCCCTGTGCCTTTCCTGTCTATGGCAAAGCAGAGTTCTTCAGTGTGTAAAGCTTAATGGTGCTGCATAGAGAACTGCCCAGATAGCTGGTAGGAAACACTGATCTAGCAAGCTTTAAGCCAGACAGACAGTACTACACACATAAAAAACCCCAAAGCAAACAAAAACCCAATTGTTAAGCAAGTTCTTGTGCTCCTGAATAAAATTTCTGCTCCTCCCTGTGGCATCTGAGAGGGAGTTCTCATCTGTCCTCCCACTCAGCCCTGCTCTGAGCAGTGTCCTCCAAAGAGCTGGGACACTTGGTACAGTTATTTCAATGGCTACTATTCAAAGTTCCAAAAATGTGCAACACTCTGAGGGAAGATGAGCCTTTCAGATGTGTTTATAAAGCAAGTGTGTGTTCTCATGCTGAGCGATTTGTAATGTTGCTCAGTTTGTTCAAACAAAGTTGCTTCCATAGGTAGCTTTGACCTTGAGACTAAGGAGGAAGTTTTTCTTGTCTTGCTGGAACTTGTCTCCTTGCAGACTCTTTTTAAAGGGAGGTGGATCCTACTGAATAAAATCTAAGTCTGTGCACAAGCATTTCTATTCAGTGGGGAGCCAATATTTGGGATGTGCTGAAAGTTCAGGAAGAATCTGTTCTCCAAGATTGAAGAACTGGGGAGTGGGGCTGACAACATTCGATGTATCTAGTACCACTTGCCTCTGGAATGCTCTAGGAAGCCTCTTTGCCAGTGAAATATTCCCAGTGGTCAGTTAGTCTCAGGAGTGCTGGGGAGGGAGGGAGGACAGGGTGTGTAGTGCTGCATTTTGAGGGAGAATGCTGAGGTTAGTTGGTGAAACCTCAACTGCAGTTGGTCCCTGGCTTCGAGAGTGCTTTTCTAGCCCAAAAGCTGCTCTGAGTGCAGGCAGAGGCACTTACCAGCACCACAGAGCCATACAGCTGTGTATAAACCTGGTAACCTTTTTGAGAGCTTCAGCACTTCATGTGATTGCAGATCAGTTGGCAGCACTGCTGTACACCAGGCAGCCTGGCTGATCTGCATGTATTTGCATAAATGCATAAGGTTTGTGGGCTTTCAAGAGGCACGGAGTGCGCTCTGGTCACTGGCATTGGATTTGTCCTGGCTTGACAGCATCTTAGTGCTGGGATGATGTGAGCACTAGTGAGTTAGGCACTAAGGTGGGTGTGTCTCCCCCACCCCAACGATTATCTCTGCACAGGCCTCTCCTGGGGTTGGTCACCCTGGTCTCCTCATTTCTCACTAGGGCTGGGTTCCTATTCTCAAGACCCTTCAGGCTACGCGCCAATACTTTGTTTACACTCTTATGGTCAGGCTGAGCAGTGAGGAGCCCTAGGTAGGTGGTGCCTCTTTACAACCAACTCGGGATGTCTGCCTTGGGGACATGAACTGGGGGTTTCTTGCAGGGTCTCTGCAAGAGGGTGGGGGGCACAGTGGGGCTCAGATGTTGACCTTGAGTCAGGGCAGTGCAGCTCCTGGTGTTCACGAGCTGGCTGGGGTGAAAACTGGTCATTGGAGTGGGAGTGATGCTGCTCTTGGCTTCCCAAGCTGCTGCCCTGGCCAGGCTTGGTCCTGGGTAACCCAGCCCAGCTCTGGGTCTGGAGCAAGGCAGCAAGGCCTGGTGGTGGGCACAGCTCAGGCAGAGCCCTCTGCGGCAGTGGGTGAGCCCTGTGCTTGCTGCCAGGTGCAAACCAGGAGCTGGAGCAGGAATTGGAGCGAGCAGGGGGGAGACAAGGTGGGCATAAATGTCTGGCTGTTCAGGTTTCCTTTGTGATCAGCAAACGGGGAATGGTGCTGCAGCTCTGCAGTCAGCAGGGACAACTGGATTTTTTTTTTCTCCACTCCAAGCCTCACCCCGTGGCAAACAATTAAATGGTATTTTTGGTTGCCTGCTTATCTCTGGAAAAAAAAAGTGGCTGGATTAGCATTTTGAGCTCATAGAGGCCTGTGATAGATGTGTTTTAAGGCTCATTAGTGGGAAGGAGCCCTCAGAGACAGAGCTTGAAATTGAAATACTGAAGACACACTAAGAGACTTTGTTTTGGATTAAGAGAGTTAAAGCTGCTGTGAGGCTGCCCGGGGGGCAGAGCTGTGGGAATGTCCTTGGGCATTAGGGTGGGTAATGCTGCCTTGCACAGCCCAGGCTTGCCCTGATGCCACTGCTGTCATTAAGAGTCATATTTAATTAAGGGAACTTATATTAAATTTCTCAGTGTTCTTAATTTGCATCTAGTCATTTTCACACTGACAATTTCAGCAAGTCTTTTGTCTTCTCCCCCTCTCCCTGCCCCCAAATCCTGCTCACTCCAAACCTGTGGTGTTGCAGAGCAGCCCAGGGAGGCAGGAGAGGAGAAACATGGAGTTCTCAGGCTGGGGAAGAGCAAGATCCAAGGGATCTGGCAGCACTCCCAAGGGATGGAGCCTGATCGGGCCTAAACTGGACTGAGCTGGGGGTAGGGGAGGCAGGAGAGAGCTGCAGCCTCTCCTGGTGCGTTAAAAATACTCACCCCCACCTGCCAGGTTTTGAATCAGATCTTTGTTTTTGATCTCAGACCAAAGATGCTTCAAGCTGCCCACGCAGGGAGTTTTTGGGGGAGTTTTGTTCTTCTCAGGGACAGTTTTGGACCATGGAGTGTAGAGGGTGAAGCAGGTGCAGCCTTTTGAGTTCTGCTTTGCCCCCTCATGTTTCGAGTTACATTTTTTGAACTGGGTATCCCTTAAAAGAGAGGCTGATCAGTTAATTAAAAGGAGTGGACAGCAGGGCTCTTTTGACAGGGGATTTCAGGTTGTCTTAGTGTGTCTTTTCAGCAAAGGAAATTTCTTGCCTGTCCAGGGGGGGTGGTGGAGCTGACTGAGCAGCCAGCCTGAGGTGCTGCAGCTGCCTAGCTGTGAGATTTCAGGAAAAACCTCCTTGCTGCATCCCCGTCTCTGCTGAAC